TGTCAGAAGAATTGAGTATGGTAGTCAGAAAGTTATTACAACGAACGGAGCTAGAAGATTGGGTAAGAGTCGTCGACAAACCGCCTGCTAATCTCAAGCATCAACTTGTTCGCAATTGCGCGTATGACAGACTATATACGACTCCCAGCTGTAGGATCTGCCCGTTTGGCAAACAAGGTGATTGTATGGTTTCTGGTGTAGTGTATCGTATTACATGACAATCATGCAAAGAATCGTATATAGGTGAAACCGGACGCCGTGCACACGCATAAAAGAACACTTAGATGGGCTTAGAAGATCAAATCCCACCACGCCGATGGGCATGCACCGCAGGCAGCGCCACGAGGACGCAAATTTAAACGTGGAGGTCACAATCTTAGCTTATGAGCCCGAAATCCTAACGCGCAAAACTTTAGAAGCGTTTTGGATCGCGACGGAAAGACCGAAAATGAATAGAAAATGAGTGCCTTGCCATTACATAAGAGCTGGCTCCTTACCAGAGCCTCTGTGGCTTCTCCGCTAACAGCAGGCCGAGACCAAGTTGCTAGATATCTGGAAGAATGGTGGTCAGTTATTGGGATAATGTATAAGCAATAAATTGTTGACAGAGCAATGACCCGATCTTGTCATTTGTACTCTTTTGATTCGCTAACAGGCTGGACAATTTGCTTGATCGTGACGAAGTTGCTCACTGGACAGTTTATATGGTCACGACTTTTTCAGACCCCGAAGAAGGCGATATTGCCGAAACGTCGGTCAAATAAAGAGATATACCAATCGTGTGCAAGCTAAACAAATCAGTGAAAGAAACCTTTATCGTTTTTGACAGGGCCGGGCGGAGCCGTTTATGCCAGCTAGTGTATTGATAAATGAACGTTGCAAGAAAATTACCAATTTTCTGCGCAAATTTGTGTCATTCTGTTAGCCACAACGCCAGATTGTTTCCTTAATGATAATAAGATAGAAGAGAAGCAATACAGACCCAGCAAAAGAATGGCAGAAAAGGGCAAAATATGGTAAACTGCATTAGTTGTAGGAAAGTAGTAAAATTCAGGGCATGCAAAAAAAAATCTGTGAGCAAATCAGCTGCCTTATGAACTTGTGAGAAGATCCAACTGTTTGGGAGTGATGAAAAACTTATGTTTAAATGCTTTTCAAGGAAAAAGAACTCAACATGCTGGGATTTCGAAGCAGATTATAGAATAACTCAAGCACCTGGTTGCTGTGTGTCTGAGCGAAAGCGCGCGGATCAACTGTTTATATAAATTGTTTTTGGCTACATTGCGATCCTTTGCATGCATCGGGTGCGTAGCAAGTGATACCCAGGCAGCCGACTGCTGCCGCAGCCAGCCGCCAGAGCTGCCGGCAAAGCCGCTGCAGATCGTACAGTAACTACGCTCGTCGTCTAAAGCTCTTCCCGAGAGGTTTTCTCGCACCTCGTCGCTCTGAGGTGCGATATCAGCCTAAGGAAAGCGTTATATGCTCGATATCTATATCATTTTGAACAGCAGAAAATCCATGCTTTTTGAGAAACATGCAAATAAGCAAAGGTAAACAAAGTAGAGGTTTCTTAAAGGAAAATGATCAAAAATTCAAATCACTTCAAAAACTCAAAGGTAGCAGAAGCTGAAAGGTTTAGAAATTTCTCAAATTTCCAAAGATTTTTTTCTCGCTTTTACGAATGGACGAGAACAGTTACAGGAAAATGTCATGGATATAACGGTAAGGAAACTCTCTCAAAATGATTATTTCATATATAGTGTTAAGCGAGCTAAATAAGCAAAGAAAGTCAATCAGATTGAGTAAAATAAAAGTCAATAATAAAAGATGAAAATACGCCACATCTGCTGATTTTGAGAATATAAAAAATAATAGTGAAGAAAATTCGAAATTCACAACTCACTGCAAATATTGAGAACAAAACCGCATTTCGGATTCTGAAGTGTTCATAGAAATGTGAATTCGATTTCTAAGCATTCTTCATCGACAACAAGGATCCTTAAAACTACAGCGTCAATGGATATTTATTGTACTTTGATTTTATGATTTGTAAAAGAAGAAACTGTTTGATTTCCTATTCATTCATTTCTGTAATTGAATTCTTGGAAATTTTTCGGTGTAGTTTTGCATTCGACTTTGTAGTTCTCAATGAAATATGGCTTTTCTCTGCTGTTTAAAAAAATATGGATATTGACGATATTACGCTATCATTGACTCAATCAATTTGATTGACCTAATTTTCCTTATTTAGCTCGATTAACATCATTTTGTATGAGATAATCTTTTTGACACAGTTTTCTTAACGTTATATCCATGATATTTTCCTGTAATTGTTCTCGTCCATATTTCGACGTAAAAGAGAGAATTTTTTTATAGAAAATTGAGAATTTTTAATTTTCAGCTTCTGCTTCCTTTGAGTTTTTGAAGTGATTTGATTTTGTGATCATTTTCCTCTAGAAAAACCCTCCTCTTCACCTTTGTTTATCTGCATGTTTCTCAAAAAACACGAAATTTTTGCTATTCAAAATGATGTAGATATCGGGGATATGACGCTTTCCTGAGGCTGATTTCGCGCCTCAGAGCGACGAGGTGCGAGGAATCCTCTTGGCAAGAGTTTTAGACGACGAGCGTAATTACTGTACCTTTGCAGCGGCTTTGCCGGCAGCTCTGGCGGCTGGCTGCGGCAGCAGTCGGCTGCCCGGGTACCACTTGCACGCCTCCCGCATGCATCTACGAACAGCGAACGGCACCACCATCACGGACGTATTCGATTGCAGAGTGCTTCCGCACTTGGAGAATGATTACTTCAAGGGCAAGCCGATTATATATCTGCTTCATCATCTCTACACACTGTACTTGATGCGCGGTTATTACATTGTGTCGGCACCATAACCCCTCCGCATCCCCACTTAAGCCCCACTATTATCAGACTGTTTACCTGACGGGCACGCTAGTGCTGCCTTGTCACGCCGGCTGCCCTTCAGCGATTACGCCGGGCATATCCTCCTTGGTGCTGCTTATCGCTTATTATGTGACGGCAGCAAAAAAGCGTGAGGCGGCATTTGCCGCGCTTCAAGCGAGTGGTCACGATTCAAGAGGGATTACTACAGGCCCTTGGTTCGACCTGGTCGTAGCGGCTCCTCTATTCGCTACGCCACTCGTCCTTCCAAGAAAGAAATCTTCGTAATTTGAACTGATGATCTGGTTCAAAAAAATTGCTATGCAGCAATGGACATGAAGTACGGAAAGCAAACCAAGGATACTTGCAATTTGCGAGAAGAAATAAATGTTTTATCCAAGGTTACTACGTATTCCGGTCTCAAAAATTTTGAAAACTCTAGAGTGGTAGTAATTTGGTCGAAACCATCATGTTAACTGTGTTGTCATGACACCAGCTAACCAGCAGCTTCACATCATTTTCCCAACGAAACCACGAACTAACCAATAGGAAAACTCGAAATGCTATCTTGCAAAGCAAAGTCATTGGAGGAGATTGAAACTCCAATCATTCTCATGCTTGTCGGCAATCATTGCACTTTACCAAATTTGCAGTTCAGTCGCCGGCCTTGCACCTTCCTATAACCTTATCTAAGCTGTAAACTCTTATAGTAAGTTGCAGAATGATCTCCCTCACTCTTCTTGACTTGCAAAACCAACACATCATTGTTTTAAACGAAAAAAAGTGGTCGGGCGTACTTTTTCATTTTAAACTATGATATGGTGGTTTCACGTTTGCGTCTCATGAAATGAGATGCTATTTCCATTACTCTACCTGATAAGGAAACAATGGTGTTAACCTGCTGATTAATTCATAGTTTGGTTTAGAATGAAACAAGCATGAAACAAGTATGGTTTTCCGAAAGTAACTGCATGTTTCATAATTTTATATGGCCGTTTGAACTGAACGGCCGTAAAAAGATGATCATGCTTACCACGATGTAATCATGATTGAACCATCACATCATTCGTTGGTTTCGACCATATTACTACCACTCCTGCTTTTTTCGAATGACTGAATATCCGATGAAGACATTATGATGAAATATCGTCGAGTCATTCGTAACTTAATATGTGAGCATGCACACAAAGCCTTTCAACGGACGGCCCCTTCAATATTAACTTCTCGATCAAATCTTTTCTAGCGTAACAAAGTGTAAAAATGTATACTACTGACTAATTAATATCCTTTCAAACCAAAAGGGGCAAAGAAACAAGGCGAAGTCGCTGAAATGAGCAGTTTCCAATCTTCTAAGTTCGTCAAATAGCGCGTATGGTGTGCAATACGCATATTAAGTTACAAATGACTCGAGCATATGTTGTTTGAAGACTACATAGCATAATCTAAATATATATAAAACTCAATGTCTGTGAGGATGTTCGTTTAGTTGTTCGTTCGTTATAGAAACGCCAGTCATTGAACCGATTGAGCTAAAACTTTGCACACGTATGCATTTGACCCCGGAGATGGTTTATGGCTACTTTTTGCGGCGATTCGCAGAGTCCTTCTACTGATTTATTGATTTTTGGCATAAGAATGAGTTCTCAACGTGGCTAACAAGTCAATTCCATGATTTGGTGTAAACAATAGCAATAGAGTTTATTCGGTTTTTGCGGTAGGAAGGATGCGGTAATCCAAGACGAGCCTGCAGCGGGTGAGTTACTCTAATAAAGGAAACCCTTGCAGCGCAGCATAACGGCCAGGTGGGAAGTGGGGGGGGGGGAGGAGAGGGGAGATGGGGAGGGGCTGGAGCAGGGACCAGCTGACATGATCCGGGCTGGACCGGGGAAATCAGCTAGTATCAAATAAAATAAAAGAATTGGGGCTTTGCAACAAAGATCCTATAATCAAATGATTGAAAGACACGCTCTAGATACGAGGAGGTCTCGAAATTCATGCAGAAACATTTGCAAGAAGGAGTACTTAGAGGTGCACTCGCTTACTATTTGGGATAATATATTGATTCAACTTAAGTAGCTATCTAATATATCATGATACCCACATGTTCTCTTTATTTCTTTTATGCAATCTATGGTACACATTATCGTAGAAACCATCGTTTTCTTCTAAAAAATCTATGTATTTTTTTCAGGGCTTATCAATTGCAGTGTCGCTTGCAACAGCATCTCCACTTCCGCGCTGGGCTTTGCATCTCTTCCGCGAACATGTTCTCTGATCACTTTCCCCGGCGAGTGTTGGAAAGGCGGAGCCTTAATCGATTGGAAGCGATTAGAGAACATGTTTGCGGAAGAGAAGCAGAGCCCAGCGCGGGAGGAGATGCTGATGCAAGCGAGACTGTGTTTGATAAGACCTGTATATCCTATCCTGTGTTTCATTATTATCACATGACAAAAAAAATGAGCAACGGTAATACAACTTACCTTCTTTCTGTGTAGATTGTAAAGGTGCGGGCGAGTCAGCCGCTGCGGCTAAAAACTTCATTGACTGTGTAGATTGTACAGGAGCGGGCGGTTCAGCTGCTGCGACTAAAAATATTGAAAGAAGATTGGCAGTGGCTCTGTTATATTAGGTTGTCCGGAAATTAATGTCCGTTTTGAATTTCAACCGCAACAAGTCATACACTTTTCATTCCTGAATAGCTTTCAAGGTAATATTCGAAAGAGCAAAGCAAGCTCTACAAGATGGCTGTCTTGCTTTAGCAACAGCTCTGATCCACCTCGAGTTTTGAGCCAAAAACTAAAAAGATTTAACTGCCCGAAAAATCAAGAAAAATCATAATTTAGTCCGTAAGAATTCTACAAAAATTCTAACTTGCTCACGTAAACACTATCCATATAAGACATATATGTACGCCATTGCCATATTTTTTCCTCTGTTAGAAATCGAAAAAAAGAGAATTTTCCTGCTTTTGCAAAAGTGATGCTGTGCCGTCCCCACATAAGTAGATGTATACTACAAATCTGTAGAAGTGCAAACGTGGACTTTCAGCTTTTTACAAGCTATAGTTCTCGAGAAATTTGAATTTTAGTTTGGACCACCTAACCAATGAAAGCTATATTCGATATTTCTCGAGAACTAAAGCTTGTAGAGAGCTGAAAATTTACGTTTGTACTTCTACAGATTTGTGGTAGACATTTACTTATGTGGGTACGACACAGCATCACTTTGGCAAAAGCATGAGCATTTTCGTTGTTTCGATTTCTAACAGAGAAAAAAATACGGCAACGGCGTAAATATATGTCTTATGTGGATAGTGTTTACGTGAGCAAGTTAAAATTTTTGCAGGTTTCTTATGAACTGAGTTAGAATTTTTCTCGATTTTTCGGGTAAATCTTTTTAGTTTTTGGCTCGAAACTCGAGGTGGATCAGAGCTCTCGCTAAAGCAAGAAAGCCATCTTGTAGATCTTGCTTTGCTCTATCAAATGGTACCTTGAAAGCTATTCAGGAATGAAAAGTGTATGACTTGTTGCGGTTGAAATTCAAAACGGACATTAATTTCCGGACAACCTAATACCTATGAATTATTTCTAGTTGTATAAAAATTTGCTAAGGAAAAGGATCTCATGTCGCAGAAAGTGAACGTTCCGCGCAGCATTTGCGGCAAATCATTCACCTCTACACTTGAAGACTACTGCCAGCTGGCCTATCGGCGAATTGTTGTCCTCTGCCCTTTTACTCTGTGATGCAATTTTCGTAGCAATTGAAGTGCTCACTTCTACTGATAGGAGAGATTTCCAGCACCATTAAAGATTCCAAAAGACAGGAAACAAAGTTTCTGAAAAGGCAAAAAGTCAGACTTTTCCTTTTTCACAATAATGGAATGAATCATTTTTCAACACACAAAAAAATGTCCAAAGCCAGGTACACGTGGACCTGGAGGCATCCGCAGAAGAGTTAGGAATGGTCGGCAGGTTACCTTAGGTATCGTTTGCAACTTGAAGGAGTGGCTCGGCAAATTCCAAACCTGACCGTTTTTGGTCACTAGAAGGGGGGGGGGAGGTCGGGCAGTATTCTTGGCAGGAGCAGCATGCTGCGCTTGGATGAGCTTGGTTTTCATGATTGGTGTGTGAGCATACTACCCTATCAGATTTTCGTAATTTCCAGTGCCGAGCCACTACCTTCAAATGCACTGCCCGGGCAAAGCTAGAAACCTTGGAAATATGTGCCACGCCAGAGTGGATCAATGGACACAACATCGCGCAAGTGCGAGGCCATAAGCTTTACCAGAAGCAAGAAATACTTGCGGCTTGGACGTTGAGAAACTTACTATCTGATGACAGTAAGCCCACCTATGAATTTCTTGCTCTGCGGCAGAGTACTCATGTCTCATTTTGGCAGGAAGAAGGAAGCGCAGATTGGTGCTTAAATCAAACTATCGTGGTCCTTACTCAAGGAGCTGAGCTCTCTATCACATGCAAAGAAGTTCTTGTAGCTTTTCGAGGACAGCGTAACACACAAGAGGCTTCCATGGCACATGAAAGTATTTGGCATGAACTCAGACTCATTCAACTTCGCATCAATGTGCTACAAAGCGTTACAAAGCGTTGAAATGCTCATGATAAGTCGCTGTACTAGCAAAAAATCGCACAAATTTCCCAATGCAATCGTCAATGTAATGATGTAAACATGGTGTACATAAGACGCGCTCCTCATCAGGCCACCGTCCAAGCGGCTAAGCTTCACCTTTTTACGCTGAATCTAGTATGTTCCGTACTAAGCGGTTTTCGGTCAGTGCTTTCACTTTCCAATTGGCCTTATACGTGACGAGGTCCTCCTAGCATATCTAACTTGATGCGAAGGCTACAGTAAAAGCCCCACCTCTTCCGCGTTGCTTTCATGTGGTCTTCAAAAAACGGTTTGTGGCTATTATAACCTATAATAACGGGCTAAGGGTTGTTTACGTTGTATATAATATATAACCTTTTTCCAGATTTTAGGGGTTCGAGATCCGCAAATATTTTGAGAAACACACTAAAAAATTTTTCGGAGTGGGTGACTAACGCCACGCACCTTCATTTGAAAAAATTTTTGTCGCGCCTCCCCCCCCCCCTCCCCGGTCCGAAATCTTAGAACCGCCACTGATATACAGGGTGTCCCAAAAATAAGTACACACTTTTCAATTGTTAATATCTCTCTTTCCATTGTGTCTTTTCCGCCATTCGAGTACCATTCTGTAGAGGAGGCTTCAGCTTAGATTTACTTTATCGAGCGAATTATCGATCGCTCTTCATTACTGTAGGATTACTGTAGAAAATTCGACCAAGATATTTTAAGCCATTGGGAGCCATCTTCTGCCTCGAACAAAATCAAGCAAGCTAAAAACTCCAACACTGTGGTAATGGACGCCGCTAATTTCGGATACGAAATTTCCGCTTTACTGTGATGCTTCTTTCCAAAGGTTATTCCAGGAAAACCGTTATAACCGAATTCCCGGTATTAGTCAGAAATGTGATTTTACCGTCAAAAAAGCTGAAAACTCGTAAAAAAATTGTGTAGTCGAATCAGCATGCGCGAAACCTTAGTACACGATTTTTCAGATTTCTAAAAAAAATTTTATCAGATGGCATATTTCACAATGGTTTCACATGCTGGAAGTTTTTACCGTAATCTTAGAGTAACGAAGGGCGGTTGGTAATTCGATCGATACTGTAAATCTAAGTTAAAGCCTTCTCTACAGAATGACACTTGACTGGCCAAAAAAGACCCATTGAGAAGAGAGATATTGACGATTGAAAAGTGTGTACTTACTTTTGGGACACCCTGTATATATATAGGGTTGGGGGAAAGTTCTTGAACAGTTTTTGATGTCCTTGTATGTTCGGATTTTCCACATATTCTTGCCTGCTAATTATATGTATTTGCTTCTTATATCCATAGTTACAAGCCCTCCAAAAACTGGACTACTAGCTTCATTTCTGTCGGGAATATGCGTTTTGGAACGGAGCGAGCGTTGGTGGCGAAGATGCACGAGGAAAGGATGGCTAACCAGCAGATTGCACGGGTTCCCCAGAGTTTACAAATCAGCGTCTTTTCACCTTTCGTCGTTTCCAGGATATGAACAGCACCCAGAACTGCTGTACGAATGATAAAATGGCTACTGCGCATACTCACAAAAATCTGAAGATCGTTCGCCAGCGCCATCGTCGCAATCTGCGGAGAAGCTTGATTGAGCTCGGTTCAAAGCTTTTCATCTCTGCTGGAAAGGTCTCCGACATCGTGGAACAAGGCCTTGGGATAAAATCAAGATGCTAATAATTCATGCTTTTTCGGAAAGACACAAAGCTGATTTGACTGCGCGGATGCCATCGAATGCCTGAACGTCTCTCCAAGGCACGCCACCAAACATACTCTTTTCTGACGTCAAAATTTTCACCGTGAAGCAGTTTTTGATCGCCAAAACAACAGAGTTATCACCTAAACGCCTCAAGAAGACAATGGGAAGGACTGCTTGAAGAAGAAAAGCTTCATCCGGTTTTTGTGACAGTTTGCGCGGGGATAGCTTCTGATAGCAAAATGCCGCTGATTTTTAGAGTTTTGGTGCTCAAGGCGGACACTGCCACGTATGTGAATAGCATCATAAAGAAGGGGTTGTTGGTCTGGACCAATACCCACTTGCCGGGAGCGATTGGTGCTCACAGCAGGATAACGCACCTGCGCACTAAGTGAAGGTTGTTCAAGCATGGCTCCAAAGCAACATTAAGGACTTCATTACTCCTGTGGAATGGCCTCCGTACTGGCCGGATCTGAATACCCTTGTCCACCGTAAGTGGTCAGTTTTTGGGCCCAAGCCTGCGCTCACTCATGCAAGGTGCAGTCTTTGCGACGTGCTCTTCAGGATGCGTGAGAGCAAGTCGACGTGGAGCACCTTCGTGCCACCATGAACAGCGTTTTCAAGCGATTCCGAGCTTGTATTAGCGGCGAAGAAGGAATCTTCGAATTGTCAAACCAGTCTTGTGTAGCAGACAGTTAAGTAAACCTATTGATTTATAACCTATTACCTATTGATTTCATGTAATCATCTTGCCTAGCTTCAATACTACGTTAAAAATACCGTGTTCAAAAACTTTCCCTAACCCTGTATATATTAGGTTGATGCAAAAGTTCTTTCGCACCAAATTTAAGAACTCATAACTTGTTGAATTCTCAACGAACTTACAAAGTCTAAATTTTTTATAAGAGAGGAACTCATGCTGTTTGCACATGTACCTGAACTGTTTGTTAATGTGTAAAAATGGATGAGAAAGAAGCTCAAAACCAAAATCACTCAAAAATTGAATTTTTCGTGTAGGGTCATAAAAAATCGGAAACTTGCAGCAAGTCGGTATTGTAGGTTTTTTCACCAGCTCTATCTAACAGTGCAATCTATGAAAACTTATAATTTCCCTGAAAAATGCCAAAATGAATTAAATTCGCCCTTTTGTATTGCTTGCTCAAAAATCATAACTTTTCATAGAGACGCACAATCGGCGCAAACTTTGCACTGTTGGAAAAAGCTGATAAAAGAGCCTACAGTACCGACTGCTCCGATTTTTGCTGCAAATTACCGATTTTTTATGACCCTACATGAAAAACTCAATTTTTGAGTGATTTTGGTTTTGAGCTTTTAACTCCTCCATCTGTATACATTGACGAACAGTTCAGGTACATATCCAAGGTTCCTCTCTTAAACAAAATTTAGACCTTGTAAACTCGTTGAGAATTCAACAAATTATGAATTTTTGAATTTGGTGCGAAAGAGCTTTTGCATCAACCTAATATACATATATATGTGTGTGTGTGTGAATCTCTGTCTGTCACGAAATTCGTAGAGTAAGTTCCAGCTAGGGTCCTGAGCTAGAATTTTAGCACCCCATCTGCATGCAGTAGTCTATGCAAAAGCACGAGCCGATCTGATAAGTGAACCCTTTGAAAATTGTGCGTCACACGGATCCACGCGATTTTTGGCCCGCCAAAGTGGGTCGATAATTGGCCTTTCTGCAAAGTCGTGGATTTGTTCAACAAATAATCCGCAGACCATAGATTTTAGCCCAAAAGTGAACGGAAAATCTACTTTTACGCAAGATATGTGCCAAAAAAAGAGTATGCGTAGATAGTCGAATTATCCACGTTCCACTTGGGAATTTGAGCAAATGGGTAGAGGAACGAACACCACCTCAATTCTGCACCGTCGCCGCGGGCTGCTGGTCCTTCCGCCCTACTGTTGTGCATCGTGCTAGGACCAGTGGTCCGCGGAGGCGGTGCCTAATTGAGGTGTTCGTTCCTCCACTCTGAGCAAATTTGTGCTTAGAGATGTAACACACACCATCCTTATGGCGACTATCAAGCCATATTAACTCCAGTAACTAAATCACATCCGCATTATTCAATTTTTTGAAGGAAACTTTTCTCTTCCCAAAGTACGGTTCTTACATGGAAAAGCTTTTGGAATGAGTAGTTGTTTACAATTCATTCGTAATGATTGCGAGGTGAGTTTCAAAGATGTCATTGTAGAAGTCTGCGAAGCAGACATGACGCACACTGGTACTCTGATAAGCACGCTCGACTTCTATGTACCAATTCAACTCGTAATTCAAAGCTTGCAACAGATCGAGCAAATTTACGGTAGTTGTTAATTAAAACAACATTGTACTCGTAATCAGCATGCTCACTTATCCCTCACAGCCATCTCCGAGCTCCCGCTAAAACTTTGCAAAGATTGATAAAATCGACATACGACGATAACGAAAAGTAGACTATGGCACCCGCTCCGAAGTGTGTATGTTCGATCTCATCGGCTCTGGTATTTTTCAGCGTCCATTGAAGTTGCGCGTCAGCTCTGCAAGGCCATACGCATCACGCCTGCTAGCGCTCGATCTGAGGTTTGCCAGCTAAAAACAACTTATTTCGCTCGCCGTCGGACATTTTTGCGAGTATTTCTTTGTAGTTTTGCTTTCTTTTTCGAGTAACGCTGTAGGAGTGATGTTATGGGATGGACTGATCGAATCGAACCGAAAGATTAACAACATTATGGAAAAGCTTTCAAGGTTAATTTTTTATTTGATATTACAGCAACTGATTCGGCTCCAAGGTAAGGATGGATTGCGGACTCTCCCGTTTATAAGGAAAATTGTCAAAGCTCCACGCTGTAGCATTGTTTTTCGTACTCTCTCGCTATCAAAAACCGCCACGCCTTGAACTGCCACAACTTCGCCTCTACCAATCGTGGAGCCAGGGTTCGGCACGAGAGGCTAGATGAAAATGCAAAAAACGAAGTCCCCTTTGACCCTACACCATATTCCCTAAAAATTTACCGAAAAACGAAACGTCGATTAAAAAAACGCCGCCAGTTTTGCGTGTCTTCGTCCACAAAAACGAAACCCCCTTTTCTTTTTGTCCCAAAAACGATATCCAGCTTGCTTGTAAGCCACCTGTGCCGAGCCCTGCGTGGAGCTTATACATTTTTATATTAGTTCCGCAGCTTTAACGCAAATAAGATGAACAAGCATGTTTCTGCAACATGTCTTGCATATGTTTAGTGTGAAAGCTCTTTCTGACGTTACTACATATACCTGACTGCTATAGTAAAGTAGAGAAAGTGAGGCACAATTTGCATGGCACAGTGTAGAATATACTGTTATGCAAATGACGAACATTTTTTCGAAAAAACAGCAACAGTGACTCAGACCAACCAATTGTAATTCAAGTTATGATTTGCGATATTTTTTAACGCATTACAATTGCGTGAGAGTTCCTGACCGTTTTTGTACATATGGCATGGCAAAAAAAATTTTTTCTAAAAAAAGGTTGGGTAACGTGATCGCAGTTGTTATGTTCTCTAGGAGAAGGTTTTCTTTTATCTGCAGCAAAATTTTTCAGGTGTGGAAAATGGCATCAGGGCCCGTAGTAATCTACCCTACCTGGTGGCATCAAAGATGCCGGCAGGTAGGCACACATCGCAGGGAAGTTGCCATCATTGGCGGCAGCTCGTGGAGTGATTGTAGGTTTTGATAATCTTATGTAACCTTAGTGCGCAATCATTTCGCACATCAAATTTTGATGACGCACACAGCCGCAAAACTGCTACCTCGCGCGCGATCGAACCTATGTGCGTTAACTTCAAGTGCCGCCACGTTAACCATTCGACCATTCGGTCATTCATTGCCGTTTGCACCAACTATAGGAGGAACGCACTGATAAGTGGCCGCCTGTAAGAGGGATCAATACATTGCGTGAGAAACTTTGACCTGAAAGAACAGCTGATTGATATGAGCGAGAGAGGGGCGAAATCGGTGCAGACGAGATTTATAAGGGATTGCCAAAAAAGACGGTGTTCTTTATGATTTCAAGGCATTACTGGATTTTTTCTCTGTTAGAAAATTGTCGTTTCAAAAAAGAAAAACTCATATATTGAGAAAAATGACAGTTTTTGATGAAAAGTAGAATTTTTGATTTTTTCGCCTGACGTTAATTGTGTGATATCGCCGCAATTCGCAAACTCACAGACGCCGTCGGGAAAAGGCTGGGACGGCCTAAATTTGGGGTTTTGGTTTCTCTGCCGCCAGGTCGGGGGGATTACTACTGGCCCAGCTGTACGGGTATGTGACAGAAAGAAGGAACTGCAAAGGAACTTGTCTCTCCTCAAATTGTTGTTAGTTAGTTAATTGGTTCAACCCACACAAACGCACTAGACTGAATTGAACTGAATGCGAAATCAGAGACCTTTCAAACACACTGATATAGTATTCTATAATTATCCTTAATCGATCAAACTCACTCTTCTGATGGTCTGGGAGTATGCGCTCTAAGCACAGGCTGAAATTGTAGCAGTATCCGAATGATGTGTTGAAATTTTACCTCACTTGAAACCACATAGAGCCGTCGTACTCTTTTGATGCCCATTTTTTACCTCTACGACAAGTAAGAATTTTGTTATCTCCCCAGCAAAGGGGATCCTGAATGAGTTGAGTGTGCTACGTGTTGGAAAGGGTTTCGAATAGTTTGAAAACAAGATTTTTTTCGATTTATCAAATAGAGTGGCTAAATGTCTCTGCTAATGTATCGAAGATCACACTCACCGTTGCCGTAAAACCAGACACATAGCATTCGAAAGCTTTATTGCACGATTGTCTTTCTGATCGCACAAATTGCATGCACTCTTGATAGTTCTCTCCGTCTGCATTTAGCTGGAATTGAAAGCACCTCTCTGCCTTTGCATAGGCCCTTATTTGGGGAATACTCAATAGTTTGTCTTTTTTGTATGAATATTCATATTCCGTCAGTTAATCCAAGGAGCGATTTGCAATCGCTTTTCTGCTCATATGAATCAACAAGTACGTTGACGATGCACAGAGATGAGTGTATCCGATGCATAGTGTTTAGAGAATGCATGGAGCCGTAGCCTCTAGTCCTTAACCGAGTCTTCACTCAGTATCATAATTTTTTGGATTGACAAGCTGTGGTAATTTAAATGTAGTCAAAAATTCTTTTTTTTTTGCAGTATGCATTCAGTTGATTTTTAACCAATATCATCTGTTGAAATTTTACTTACTTCCTTGCAAAGCTGTCGATTTTACGAGTAAAAGCGCTTGAAATGAGTAGTTGGTCACAGCTACTTAGACAAACGCTCGGCCATACGTGAGACACAGCAAATCTCTGGCACCTCCGGGATGCGCTCTTCACAACTGGAGCTACCAGGGAATACGGGGCGTGGGGTGGTCCGCTCGCAGTGACATCAGAATAAGTTAGGCACGGGCTTCCGGCACGTGCCCCGAAAGTCCCAGAAATTTGCAGAACCACCGGGAATTTGTAAGCGTCCAGCACCTCCAGGGAGATTAGTAAGCCAATTCGTTACGCTGATACGCAGCTTACGTATGTTCGAAAATAGGCTGTTGATTTTTTCATTGCTCTGATCGTTTTTCACACTTTTCCGCATTTTCGTGTTATATTCGCTTTTTTGATTTTTACGTCGTCTTCAATCCTTCTTCTTTCAGTAGAGCATTGCGGATGCGGTTTTGTGCCGCTTACCGTAGGAGGCGCATGCACGCTTTGCCAGCTTGCTTCGGATTGTCTGATACACGTTTCTCTACCGCTTTTTGCGTTGTTCCTCCTTTATTGGCCTCTACGTCACTTCCAACTCTTCCTCTCTCAGATAAAACATTGAGGATGCCATTTTGAGCGGGAGTCTCTATCTCTCAGCCCTCACATATCGTCTTTTCCAGTGTTTTCTACAGTAATTAAAAGGCTAAGATGAAGCCACTCAGCTCAAGAACATGTCATTTGAGAAGTAATTTTTTTCTTGCTCAATCCCTAATTCATGCGTATAGGACGCGAGGGAATTTTTCTCCTAAAATTAGCAGCATAGACAAGCCGAAGGACTATGCGACCAAAAACTATTTACAATGCTACATATTGCCTGAGAAAATCGTGCGGCATAAGTCTTGTTTTTCGAAACACAAAGAGGCGGCTGGGCGGCACGCTGGAAAAACCAAAAAAGGTGCGTCTTATACGCGTGAAACTAGGGTAACTAAGGGACAGCGTATATCATTGTTGTTGTCTAGTACTCCCCCTCCATTAAGTGCGATCGCACTCTTCATCCTATCGACAACCACCATCTTTTGGAGCATATCAAGATAAGTCCCTTGAGTTTGTATTGGATTGGAAACGTGACGATGGCGCGACAGCGCGCAACACGCCCGCACTCCCAAATCTTCGTTTCTAGACAGACACTTTCTCAAACACTTTTTCCGACGGCCCGCGCGCTTTCATGAGCCTACCGTGCGAGCGGCGCCCTAGATTTGTGGGCGCGGCATCGTTTCCGACGGGCAGCGCGCCATCGAAACCTGCCGTGCGAGCGGCGCGCCTTGCCTTCGACGGGCGGCGCGCCATTTTGAGTGACCGGGCGAGCGGCGCGCCATAAACAAATATTTAAGAATAACGAACATGTAACTTAACAAGACGCGCAAGCATCATTTTGAATTCGTTGTTAGCCGTAGGAGGTTGCATTTGTTATCGCAAACAAATGTTAAATGTTAATGTTTTCAAATTTTTTTCACACTTAAATAATGATATAACACTTCTTCTTAACAGTTTTTGAGTTGTCTCAAACGCTTTCGTACCTCACCGATATTAGAATATGTCAATTCAAAAAAGTCAATTCTCCTCCTTTCATGTGGCAGACTAACAGTCCCCAAAGTTTGAAAAGAATTTTTTCTAAACTAAATTTCGCGTGCAAAGAATTTTATTGGAAAAGTGGGTTTGAATAGCGAAAAAGTACCTATTTTTTGGAGTTGACCATCGCAGTAGATGACGTTGTGTTTGTGTTACAAGACTTTTGACGCAGGCAAACCCGACATAATGGTCAAGTCACAACTTCTAAAAAGATAAAAGTTTGCGTGATAATTAGTTAATTAAAACATGCCTAAACTTTGAATGACTTTTTAGACCAAACTACCGAATGTGACTGAGGCACATTGTTTGGCCTTTTGTACACTTTTATGTCATCGTTGTGTCAAAATAACCTTGATCATAACATATTTGACTCTTTTGAAACATTTTTTCTTGAGACTCATGAGGCTTATCCTACAACTTTGAAAAAAAATTTTTCCAAATGTTAATGTTTTTACAACTTGTGTTCGGGCACGAGGAGTTAGATCAATGGGATAACCTGGACATGAATCAGTCTTTGTGCGTGATTAAAACAGGATCCGCAAAAACCAAAAGATTTGCGTTTCAGATTTTACAGAAACCTTGGAGATAGGAAAGGAAAGAATGGAAGCGCTGGCTGAGCTAAGAAAAAAGCGCCAAGATTGGCGACCTCAACTATTCAAAGCTCTCCAAATGGCTCTGTAAGTTCAAAGATCCTTTACAAATTTTACAGTGATTGAGAATTTGATTTTAGACGAGATATAAGGTCCTACAATTACGAGTCAGGAAAATGGATAGCCAAGAATTTGTGCATACTTAAATAATGATCCAACACTTCTTTCAGCGCCAGAAACGTGCCGCACCAGACGAAGATTGAAGGTTTTCAGACAGCGGATAGGACCCCTCCGCCGGAGAAATGGCAGGGTCGCGGCGTTTCCCCAGCGGTGGGTCTGCCACTCGTCCGTCGGAGCCCTCCCATTTCTGCTCCGGAGACCTCCCATTTCTGCTCCGGAGACCTCCCATTTTCTGCTTCGGATACCTCCCAATTTCTGCCCCGGATACCTCCCATTTTCTGCCCCGGATACCTCCCATTTTCTGCTCCGAAGACCTCCCATTTTCTGCTCCGGAGCCCTGCTATTTTCTGCTCCGCAAGTCTGCCGCGGCATACTGTAATTAGCCCTAATTAAGCTCCAAACCCCAATTATGTCTCTAAACCCCACCCAAATTAGCCGAATACGACCCCCCCCCCCCCGGGTAAGAGTTCAGCGCGACCCTCAACCCCGTTCTTTACCCTCTCCCTCTCACCCCTAGCGTTTGTGGATAGAAGATAGAAGAATGAAGAAACAAGACATTTATTTCAAATTAACAGCAAACAATCTCCTGCAAATTGCAAAACAAAACTTAGCAGCTACAAAACGGACAACAAAGCAGTAAAGCAGTAAAACGATAAGGTACGTCTGGTTCTGACTACGAGCATTTTCAAGACGGCAAGAAACCTCTGAAAATCAACGATGTGAAAAGAGAGATAAAAACAGAAGGAAGAGAAGCAACACAACCTTTACGGAAAACCAGCAATTACATGATTCAGAAAATCGAACTCACTCGGATCAGTATAAGCAGGTGACTGTGATATGGGCGATTGGGATACGCTATGACTGACCAATGAACCAGTCGTATGCGGGCTATCCTTGGGTGTCTGGGGCTCAACTGAAGTAACTGCATATTTTGTCAGCTTCACAGCGAAAGGAAACCTTCACTATATGATACTCACTTCTGCTCTGTGGGGCATAGGTGCTATTTGGTGGGACCGTACTTGTCAGTTTCCTTAACTCCTCTGGAAAGAATTTTTTTCAAGCAAATAAAAAGGTAAATAAGGACATACCCTTTAATCGCGATATCTCTGTGATATTTCGCTCAGCATCTAATTTCCATCTATTCAATTCAAATTTTAACTTCTCATTATCTTTTGATAATATGTGAGAGATACGATCAGACTGCTCTGCACGTTTCTTAGCCTAGAGAAACAATTTCAAACAAAAACAACAATAATGAAATGTAGCAGTGTGAAAAATCAAGATGAAAGATCAAGCATACATCAAGACACTCCTTTTGACATTTTTCAAGCAGCACCGTTTTCTCAGCCACCACATCAGTCAAGTGCTTTCGCATTTTGTCACTGATTTGACAGTGAGCACATTTTGCACTGTTCGCTATAATGAGAAAAATAAAGCATTCGGCTGAATAATATAACTATAACACCACCCTCCAAACTTATCGACATAAAGTGTGTCATTAAGCTTCCGCTCAGCCCTGTTACGTGCTTTGTTTGCAAGAATAACGTCACGATCACGCGAACTTATGTCCCTAAAAGGTGTAGAAACTATGCTCTACTTTATGAAATGTTACCTCAGATAACCATCTGCGCGTTCTTCGATAGCTCTTTTTCTTTAACATGAAGATCTATTCGGGCCTGAACAAAACGTTCATTGAGATTAAAATCACAAAAGCGTGTACAAACTACAAACTAGCAGATCTAGGCATCCAAGAAGCACTTAAAACAAAAAGAAAGCTTAAAGTAAACAACTCAGTAGAATAACAGCAAATCTATAAACGCTCACGTTCAAGAGCATGTGCTTCCTCTCTATGTCATCAATTCTTTGTTGAACTTTCAATTTTTGCGCCTGAAAGCAGTCCATGGTTTCTCCATGCAAAAGTCAGTAACTAAAAAGAACTTACTGCAATATTATCAATACTCTTTCTAGCTTCTATCACGAACTCTTCTTGGTAAAAAGCAAACTCTCTCTTGAGCACGCCGATAGCGTCATGAAGATTCCTTAGCTCAGGCGTATACTCATCCCTGACAAAATAAGTAGTTGACTGTAGCGGTAAGGTAAATGCTGCATGGGATTCAAAACATTAGTACAAAAACCTCGATTCAAGTTGCATACCTGAATTTTTTGATCACTGAATTCATGGGGGCGACAAGGGACACGAGTCGTTTGTTTTCTTCGTGAGCCTGTTGCAGCTCTTGTGACTGTCGTTTGAGTAGGTTCTGGGTAATCATCAAGCGACGAGACACATGAGTAGGTAAAGTTGGTGGAGGGTTCACGGCTGATCTAAAACTAATAGAGTTTTGGATATTTAAGATAGAATGAGCAGAAAGAACTTTGCTTAAAAACGAAAATCTCCAATTAAAATATTGGCATGACAAGTGAGACACTGGAAACGAAAAGCAAGAAGAATGCATTGACAAATGGTTGAAAGGTTATCGGAAAGGTGAAGTCATAAAGATTCGCGAGACTTCGACAAATGGATAATTTACTGACACGATGGCAACTATATGAAGGCGCTTAAAATCACCTTAAACTAGCAATTCTCCAACAACAACGGGCGATGAAGCGCAAGAGGTGATCGGTAAATTTCATTGATCAGAGGACCCTAACATATCCCAGAAAAACCAGCACTTACCCTGCACAAAGCTCTGCTTGACTACTGATCAGCTGCTCAAGCATGGCAGAGAAATAATGCGTCCTACCCAGAGTTTGTGTAGCACTATCGTCTACACTCGTTTTCGGCATAGTTGGTATAGACGGAGTCTGCAAATCCACGACTTATTTCACGCCTCAATGCGGCGCCATCTATTCCTACCGGGCTGGCTGCGCGGGCGGTTCGCGTGCGGCAGCCGTGAGTAGCGTTGGGGCGCGCATTGGGTGGATATGACATTGCCATGTGCCGCTTTTCATGGGCTTAAATTTGCAAACGAAGGTTTTGCGCCTATCACAGGATAACGAAGGCTGCTATGCGTAGGGCGACGTTAATGAAAACATTTCTACTTCAGTAGCCGCAACGCTGATTTTGTAGTGCCTCTTCGACTAATTGGCAGTCGAGAATACCCTGCAACTTTTAATGCGCCCATTCGTATTTGGAGCTTATTGCTTTTCTGCATATGAAAAAGAAAGAGGTTTCGAGTGCGTTCGGTGCTTCTTCTTGAATTAACAAATCGTTTTCCGTGATCCATACATGTAAGCGTTAACATCAGTTGTGTGTCAGTGATCCATTTAAGAGTCTCTGCATCAAAACTCAAGTTTTCAAACTTTTAGGTCCAAAAATAAGCTAACATAATCAGTTATGCTGGTTTAGATAAATAAAGAGGTCAAAAAGTATATAAAAAGCTTGCGTCGTCTACATTTCGACATCAACCTTGTGATCAAAATTCACTAAATTCTTGCATTAGCCACTCAACAAACTTTGCTTCGAGTAGCTTGTTGGCTGAATCTCCTGTTCTTTTGGGCTTATATAGCTGTGTTCGCAACCAACCGAAATGAAAATGGCAAATGCTAATCAATAAAAGTCATGACTCCTAAAAAATACACAACTTAGCCGACACTTTGGTGAGTTGACACTGCAACAAATGTCCTGCACCACACGAATTCTACGTTTGTGTGTTCTTCGCATCAAGTATTCTCTAATGTATGCATCCGCTGATCGACTCATCAAAGTAATGTCAGGACCGTTCGTAAAAACGCAAAGTATTACTTGATGAACAGTCTACTTCAAGAATCTTATCTCTGCTTCACTGGTATCACTTATGAAACCGTAAAGTATATCAAGTTATCAGAGATTCGGAAACTACTGTAACTGACTATATTCCAGTGATTTGCAAAATCTTAAGCATTCCTCAAATTTCAGCGAACAAGTGAGCATCAGATGTTCGATAGAATTTTTTACTTTAGAACATAAGCGAGCATCTTGGTACACAATCGTAATGGTCTGACCCGATTAGCGAAAGTGAGCTTACTCCCATTACTTTAGAAAGGTCTTTTGTGATCAAGAGACTCAAAGTCATTGAGTGAAATAAGTATGATCTGCTCCCAGATTCATGTGGAGGCGGGTTGCGGACTTTCCTGATTTTAAGGAAAAGCTTAACGAGAGAGTATGAAATAGAATGCTGGAACGTAGAGGTTCAACAAGTTTATTCTGAAAATCAGGGAAGTCCGCAACCCGCCTCCACCGAATCGGGAAGCCGATGATAACTAGTCAATAGCCTCTGAGCAATGAAGCAAGGAAACCCTCGAAAAATGATGTATAAGGATACCCTTGGACGAACATTATGATAGACAAGCAATAGATGACTTTATAGCATTGTCCTTTTTAGCTGGCTTCGCATATGTAATGGAGTGCAAATCCTCCTCAGTATTTGGGTAGCAGTAATCTAAACTAACTCGCAACTATGGGGAGGATTGCTCGCCCCACGTAGATATATGGCTGCCGCGCGCGAACCGCCCGCGCAGCCAGCCCGGTAGGAATAGACGGCGCCCGTATACGTAACCTTTGCGCGCTTTCTTGACCGGGTTGGCAAATTCCACCTTAAACGAGTGGAGATGGAATCCACAACACTACACAAGTCAACCTACATGATCGGATGCCTTCTCCCTCCGCCGCTTCGGTGCCGACGCTTTTGTGGCTTTGGCTGGCTTATGAGATTTTGCGGTTCGCACTGGTGCTTTCGATGGAGCTTTCGCGGTAGTTTTAACAGGGGCTTTCGGTGAAGCTTTTGTAGAAGGAGCGCTCTTGCAAGCTCTAGGAAGTGGTGCAGGCTGCTCCACCACTGTGCATGCTGGTGTACTCTGCAGTGTGTTAATTTTAATTTTCTTTATATTACTGCATTAACAACACTTTAACATCAATCAAGCAACGCGGAAAAGAAAAAAACGGTAAGAAACGCGGAGAAACAACAAAATCGAAAAAAAACGACTAAAATATGGAGAAAGAGCGTAAACAGAGGACTCATCACCGTGGAGTTAGACGTTTGCTTGCTATGCGCCAAATCGATACGCAGCCTGCTGCGGGGCCCTCCCATTTCTGCTCCGGATACCTCCCATTTTCTGCTCCGGATATCTCCCATTTTCTGCTCCGGATACCTCCCATTTTCTGCTCCGGAGGCCTCCCATTTCTGCTCCGGACCACTCCGATTTTCTGCTCCGGAGGCCTCCCATTTTCTGCTCCGGATACCTCCCATTTTCTGCTCCAGAGGCCTCCCATTTCTGCTCCGGACCCCTCCGATTTTCTGCTCCGGAGGCCTCCCATTTCTGCTCCGGACCCCTCCGATTTTTTCCGGCGCGGCTCTTTCAAATCTGGCGGACTAGCGCCGGGCAAATTTCTCCGGCGCGAGTCCGCCAAATCTGGCAGAGTCGCGCCGGAGAAATGGCGTACCTTTGCAGCAGGGCCGGAGAAGCCTCCCACTTGCCTGCCAGTGATGTCACCGCGACGGACCGCCCATTTGCCCCTCTCTCATTGGTCAGCTGGGTCCGGCGCGACTCTGGCAGATTTGGACTGTCCGGCAGAGGGGTCCGGTCGATTGTCTGAGTTACTAACCGAAAAAGGATTACGTAGCAGCAACTCAATCATCAGCTAACGCCTGCCAACATCTGCGTAATTTTCTTTTCAAAGTCTTCTCCAGAAAAAAATTGATTTGTCTATGTTTTTCTTTTTGTGTTTTTTTTTTCAGGTATTGTTCAGTGTCTTATCTTTAGTGTTTCATCTTTCGTAATATAATGGTACCTTGCTTCAAGCGTTCATCAAGATCTCCGTGTTCACTGCCTCAATGTCATGATTCTGACAGGATTCAGGTTTTTTTCTTTGCAATCAGGTCATTCTTACCGGTATCTAACAGTGCTTTCTCGGTATCAGCATGGCTGCTGTGCTTTACGTGTTTTCAACAGGGTGCTTAGCGCAAAAGATATTGATGATATCATAGTTGTTGCCTGTTGTGTTCTGCTTTTGATTCTGTATTATGTCGTTCTGTAAGTCTTTGGATAATAAATCTGCCATCATCATACTGTATACATGTTTGGCAATAAATCTGACGCTATGAGGTCGTATTTCAATAACAAAATATGAATTCTATCAAAGGATTGCTATCTGTATCACAATAGGGTTCTACAACGCTTTCGAAAAAGCGGGCGAGCGGCGTACCTTCATTCCAAGGGCGGCGGGGGGCATGAGCGCTCGCACGCTCAAGGCGCGCGGGCCGTCAGAAAAAGTGTCTGAGTATCTCTACTCAAATAGTTTTCCTACTTACATACGATAGTATTCAGGCACTGGAAGTGGCTGAGCTTAGCGTTGATGGTTGCCTGTCCGTATGGGAGCTTTATCCTTCTGTGTGCGCAAAGACTGGGTCAACTCGTCGTCACGATTTTAAAAATGAACCATACGTCTTTTCTGAGGTATCATATTAGGCCCCGGACAGACTTCACGCGATTTTATCGTCGCGACTGAATCGCCGACATTTCCATTCATTTTCATTTCACATTCAAAAATTTCGGGCTGGAAAAGTATCACAACCGAAATGCAACTTGATCGGCATGGAATGATGTTGTAACAGTTGTCTCGTCGCGATTCAGTCGCGACGATCAAATCGCGTGAAGTCTGTCCAGGGCCTTAGATGTGATTTTATTGTGGGGTTGTATACTGCCGTAGCTGCGGACGTAACACCCAAAGTAAACTTTTATTGCCTACAGCAATCTGATTGCGGTGGGTAGGCATGTCTAGTAATGTAGTTACGATCTCGTTTTGTTGTTGTTTTTACTGCTTCTGAACAATCATCTACTCTTTGCTGCTACAGTCGCTTATCACTTCCCATAACTCATAGGGAATCAGTTGTCTTTACATTGTCTCTATATCATTCTCTGTATTCATCATCCGTACGGTAGCGCTATTTTCCATGTTGAGGTGGGTGGTAGTGTACGGTACATGGACGGAAATTCTAAATTTCGAATACAAAGCTCCCTTGAGGGCCTCTAGAGAAAGCTGACTTTGGCTGTCATACTCTTTTTCACTTTAGATTCTTTTTGCGGAAGTTTCCTAGTTTTCTTTTTGTTTCCACTATTTAGGCGCTTTTGAACGCTGATGTGCTTACATAGGGGAAAGAAGTTGATAGCGCTACTACATCGTAAACTCATTTCACCCAGGACACCACTTGCACACGCTAACTAACGGTAGCGTATCTCCATCTTGATATTGATTGATATGGCAATCATCCACTCCAAGCCTTTTTGATCTTTTTCATCTTTGTCTTCCGTGATCTTGTTTCTCAGCTCTTAAATTCCTCTTTCAGTGTCTTCCACTGCGTCGCTCTTCGCAAGCATCAACAGCCAAATGTACCCACTCATCTCTCTCCGAGTTCATCCTATCCTGTTCGTGGGCAGTGCTCAGATAATTGCCGGGGGGCAGGTGGACCGCAAACCTGCGCTTTTCTGCAGGTGGTCAGCGGAATTTTGGGGCGTGGCCAAATTTTCAGCAGGCGCTCTAACTCTTGTTGAGTATTTTCGGCCGTATGCCGAGGGAAGTTAACACTCTACATGGCAGAGGTGTCGCCGGTGGTTTAATTATCCGAGTTTGGGGTACTTTCTTTCGACGGAAAGTACCCCTATGGACTGTGCGGTCCTTCACAAAGGACCGTGCGGCCCTCAGCAATTTTGCATATTCTCGCGAAAAATGCGCGAGAATGCGGCCACTGCGCCGCAACTAATCTATGAAAACCGCAATGGTTCCCCGAGCATTCGTCTAAATTTTCGCC